AAACGAGAATTTGGCAAAAACAAGTAAGAATGTGGCCAGAACAAACTAGAATTTGGCAAAAACAAGTAAGAATGTGGCCAGAACAAACAAGAATGTGGCCAGAACAAACGAGAATTTGGCAAAAACAAGCAAGAATGTGGCCAGAACAAACGAAAATGTGGAAAAAATAAGCAAGAATGTGGCCAGAACAAACGAGAATGTGGCAAAAACAAGCAAGAATGTGGCCGGAACAAACAATAATGTGGCAAAAACAAGCAAGAATGTGGCCAGAACAAACGAGAATTTGGCAAAAACAAGCAAGAATGTGGCCAGAACAAACGAGAATTTGGCAAAAACAAGCAAGAATGTGGCCAAAACAAACGAAAATGTGGAAAAAATAAGCAAGAATGTGGCCGGAACAAACGAGAATGTGGCACAAACAAGCAAGAATGTGGCCAGAACAAACAATAATGTGGCAAAAACAAGCAAGAATGTGGCCAGAACAAACAAGAATGTGGCAAAAATAAGCAAGAATGTGGCAAAAACAAGCAACAATGTGGCCAGAACAAACAAGAATGTGGCAAAAATAAGCAAGAATGTGACAAGAACCTCAGTGTGACAAGAACATTGATTCTGATTGAGAACTTAAGTGTGAAAACAACAAAACTGCCGCCTCGAGAACATAAGTGTGCCAGGAACGTCACACAGTCACACAGCAACAAAAAAAAAACAACAACAACAAAAAACTAACTGTGACCGGAAACATCAGATAGCTAAGATTATACAAGGTCTAACAATAAAATAATGAGACTACTTCCATACAAATTTAAAAATTCAACAGTTGAAGATGTAACCTGTATTTTATTCAAAGTAAGCCCCTTCTGCATTGATACATCGAGTGGCCCGACCTAACAAACACTGAAACGACCTCTGTAGTTCTTCTCTTGTTATGTCCCATAAAGTCGATGTTACGACATTTTGGATGTTATCAGTATCGTCAAAGAAGCGTTATTTTAATGGTAACTTTAATTTTGGGAATATTAAATAATCACAGGGAGATACATCTAAGGAGTAGTGTAGATGGCTGAGAACTCGTACTTGTTCTGGGGCCAAAAATTCCTGTACAACTAGCGCTCTTTGAGCCAGTGCGTTGTCATACAGAAGAAACAAATTGCAAGGTTTCGAAAACAAACCGGCAAGCAACTTTTTTCACTATAATTTTACGAATAGTCTCTGTATTAACACCAAATTCATCTACCATCATTCTCAGAGTCGAACACCGATTTTCTTGTATCCGTTCTCGGAATTATGCAACGAGTTCCTCATTACGAACTGCAATTGGGCGTCCAGGTCTATTTGCATTAAAATTATTTCCACATCACTTTTGAATCGTGAATACCAGCTGAAAATCTGTGCACTAGATAAACAATTATCCCCCATAAACTTGAGGCGACAATTAAACTGTTGCAATGGCGCTTTTCTGGGTTTTAAACAGAACTTAATGTCAGCTTTTGTGCTCCATGCTGATAACGTAACAATCCACCTTTGCCTAGGTTAAAAAATGGCGGCTTGTTTGTTGTCTGCTTATTTGGCAGCGATGAAAAGTTGCCAAATCATAGACAAAGGTTGCCTCTTTGGATTCCATGATGTGAAACATAGATGGCATTTTTGTTTTAGCTATAATAAAATCAGTCTCATTACTTAATTGTCAGACCTTGTATGACGTCCAACAACGAAAATGGGCAAGAACTCGAGACTGGCCCAGACAATGACAGTCCTAACGTCACACAATCTCCGAGAACTTGTTGCTGACCGAGAAGATGTTGGGAGATTGTAGGACAAATGTGTACAACTAATAAACAGTTGACTGTAACAAACTGGTGTCTAAGATCGACACGGGCTCAAAAAACTTAAGACAGACCCAGAATCTACCAACGCCAACAAGACTTGAAGTCACACCAACCACAAGCCAGGTAGCCTGTACTACTAGAATGACTAAATCTTCCTCTGGTACATTTTTATTTCATAACGACAGAATGACTGTAGCAGATCTCTGAACATTTAAGGTGTATCACTGACAGATACAAAAAAATGACGGTAGCACATCTCTGACCGTTGCAGGTATATCACTGACAGAGAAACAGGACTGTAGCAGATCTCTGACCATTGAAGGTATATCACTGACAAAGACACAGGACTGTAGTGGAAATCTGACCATTGCAGGTGTATCACTAACAGAGACACAGAAGCTGCGGCCTGATACCTGAATGCAACCCCCCCCCCCCCTCACCCCCGACCCCAACCCCACCCAACAGAACATGTGAGGAGTTTTGCCGCCCCTGGAACCTGCACACGGACACCTGAACCCCCCCCCCCCCCCCACCCCAACCCCACTCCAACCAGAGAACCTTGTTTGGAAATGTTGCTTTTATTTTTTTACATTTCATATATTTTCACATATATTATTATGTTCAATTTGCTATTGTCAATTTTGTTATTTACTGTGTGTCCACGTGTGTTTATTTTTTTTTTTAGTTTAGAAGACTGCGTGTGTTTCTTTGTGTGTCCACGTGTGTGTGTGCTTGTGCATCCCCGTGTGTGCATTTATGTATGTGTGTCCATGTCTGTGTGTACATGGCTGTGTGTACATTTGTGTGTGCCCATGTCTGTGTTTCCATGTTTTTCTGTCTATGTCTGTGTGTCCATGTTTGTGAGTCCATGTGTGCGTGTGCCCATGTGTGTGTCCGTGTTTGAGTGTCCATGTTTATGTGTTTATGTTTGTGTACCCGTGTTTGTGTGCCCATTTGTGTGTGCCCGTCAATGTGTGTCCATATCTGTGTGTCTGTTTTTTGAGTGCTCATGTTTGTGCACCCATTTTTGTGTGTCCGTGTAAATGTGTCCATGTCTGCTTGTCCATGTTTGTGTGCCGATGTTTGTGTGTCATCGATTGTGTGCCATATTTGTGTAGCCATGTTTGTGTGCTCATGTTTGTGTGTCTGAATTTGTCTGTATGTATCTGTGTCCATTTCAGTGTGTCTATATGTATGTGTGTATATCTGTTTGTTAATGTATGTGCCTATATCTGTTTAGAAGGGAGACATAACAAATGTTTGTAATCAAGTATGTCCCTGTCTGATTTAATAGTGCCATGTTTTCCCATCCACAGAATATCTGGGCACATACAAACTGACCCCTGAAACAAGACAAAACAAAGCTTGCAGACAGAGTGTCTGGGCCAAGTAAAGACTGACAAGTGAACCAAGACACAACAAAGCTTGCACACAGAGTGTCTGGACACGTACAGACTGACCCCTGAGCCAAGACACAACAAAGCTTGCACATAGAGTGTCTGGACACGTACAGACTGACCCTTGAGCCAAGACACAGCAAAGCTTGCACATAGAGTGTCTGGACACGTACAGACTGACCCCTGAGCCAAGACACAACAAAGCTTGCACATAGAGTGTCTGGACACGTACAGACTGACCCCTGAGCCAAGGCACAACAAAGCTTGCACACAGAGTGTTTTGGCACGTAAATACTGACCCCTGAACCAAGACACAACAAAACTTGCACACAGAGTGTCTGGGCCACGTACAGACTGTAGAAAAAACAATAACAGCGTTATTTAAACTGTTGTACTTTTCCCATCTGTGCTAGCTACACCGTCTGTGCTAGCTACACCGTCTGTGCTAGCTACACCATCTGTGCTAGCTACACCATCTGTGCTAGCTATACCATCTGTGCTAGCTACACCGTCTGTGCTAGCTACACCGTCTGTGCTAGCTACACCATCTGTGCTAGCTACACCATCTGTGCTAGCTATACCATCTGTGCTAGCTATACCATCTGTGCTAGCTACACCGTCTGTGCTAGCTACACCATCTGTGCTAGCTACACCATCTGTGCTAGCTATACCATCTGTGCTAGCTACACCGTCTGTGCTAGCTATACCGTCTGTGCTAGCTACACCATCTGTGCTAGCTACACCATCTGTGCTAGCTACACCATCTGTGCTAGCTATACCATCTGTGCTAGCTACACCGTCTGTGTTAGACCATCTGTGCTAGGTACACCATCTGTGCTAGGTACACCATCTGTGCTACACGATCAGTGCTAGCTACACCGTCTGTGTTAGACCATCTGTGCTACACGATCTGTGCTAGCTACACCGTCTGTGTTACACCATCTGTGCTACACGATCTGTGCTAGCCACACCATCTGTGTTAGACCATCTGTGATACACGATCAGTGCTAGCTACACCGTCTGTGTTAGACCATCTGTGCTACACGATCTGTGCTAGCTACACCGTCTGTGTTACACCATCTGTGCTACACGATCTGTGCTAGCTACACCGTCTGTGTTACACCATCTGTGCTACACGATCTGTGCTAGCTATACCATCTGTACCCACTCCACTGTCAGACCCTACAAACGAGAGATACAAACTAGCAATGGTCGATTTGTTTTTCATATTTTCTACTGGACTGGCCAGCTCTATATTTGAGTGGTCAGTCTACAAGAATGAGATATATTTCAAAGCTGAACATGCTGCTTTCAGCACCCAGTCTGACCACCCTAGAAAGCCGTTTGACCAAGCAGGTTGAAGATCCTTGACTGGTCGTTTGATGTCTCCTAATTGTTGCTAATGTCCAGTCAGCATTGCAGTGCTACATCTGCAGACATCCGGATGAGAACTTGAGTTTGAAGATAGGTGAATATTCTAGCCAGCTTGTGTGAGCCCTCTTCGTGTTAATATTTCTGGTGTGGATGACAGTAAAATTTGTGGATTATCCTCATACACATTCCATTTCTGGGTTATCGCGAACTGCGGACAAGCAAAACAGAGGACTTCTGCAATGGGAGTGTGTCCCGGTTGAGAGCATTAGGAAAGCTGAGTGGTAAAAGAGCCTCAGTGCCATGCCATAAATGGACAACAACGTGTGTACGCCTGGGTCTTTGAAAAAGTCAAGGTACGCCACACTTCCTGACGAGCCAAAGTCACAACTACCAGACTATCATGCACTCTAACAGCACAGCACACCCAGGCATCCTCACCCTAATCATGACATCTTCCATGAACTGTTCCTTACTCCCCAACTGTAGTTCCTCGAGCCACGACACAGTCTGGCAGCCGGCAGTGATCCAAAGGGTGGCCACTCTGGTCTGCGGCATGGTTCTAGCTCTGGTGGGCAACACGTCTATCATTACCATCCTGACCTGCAGCCGCCACCGTAAGCGCAACAGCCGGGTCAACATCTTCATCATCAACCTGGCCATCGGTGACCTGACAGTTTGTATCTGCACCATGACCACGGAGATTTTGTTTGTTGCCTTCGGCCAGTGGGTGCTGGGCCCGGCGCTGTGTAAACTCCTGCCCTACCTGCAGTGTATCACGCTAGCAAGCACCACCTTCATACTGACCTCCATGAGCTTCGACCGCTACCTGGCTATCTGCAAGCCACTCAAGTACCGAGCATCCACGGCCAAAGCCAAGAAGTTTATCGCCATTTCCTGGGCGCTGGCCACAGTTCTGGCTATCCCGCAACTGTTGATCTTCGTGCAGATCTCCGAGAAGAGAGGCAGCAACCTAGTGGTGCAGTGTAAAACTAAAGGTTACACAGCCGACTGGCAACGTATGTTGTATTTAACCTTTCTCACCTGCTACGTCTTCGTTATTCCCATGATTCTCATTTCGTTTTGCTACATCAGTATCGTCTGCGTGGTCTCCAAGGCCAGCCGGGTGGTGAAAACCAAACCCAATAACTCGTGTAGCCTCAGAAGGTCCCAGTGTGCCAAGGGCCGGTCGACTTTCCCACGTGCCAAAATAAAAACCTTGAAGATGACTTTCACCATCATCGCCACGTTTGTGGTTTGTTGGACCCCATATTTTGTGACCACGTTGATCCGGGTCTACAGCCGGTACACAATCCATGTGCCGGAGTCGGTCATGGCTCTAGTGGAGACCACCACATTCATCCAAAGTGCTTTTAATCCGCTCATTTACGGCTGCTTCAATATCAAACTGAGGCGGGGCATCAAAGACTTCTTGTGCTCCGACAGCGCTTCCCTTGGCAAATCTTCCAGTTACCGCAGCGCTGGACTCTGTCTGTCGGCGGTCAGTGAGCCACAGCACAACCCCGGTCCGGGCGCTAAACTTCTGGGGAATCCCCGGCTGCGGGAAAATGCCTTGTGTAATAACATATCTAATTCTGACAGCGGAAATTCCCAAGAGCGTGGCGGTCGGGTGTCTAGTGTGGTTACTGTCACAGAGGAAAATCAAAATGGCATCCGTCTGAGGGTTCGGTTCTCGAGCAGCAATCAGTGCAAGTGTCTAGCCAGCGATGGGCTGGACTTCTGCCATTCCGACATCACGGTGCCCTACGATATCTTGCAACATAGTCCAGGGTCAAATGTGAAACTTTCTCTAGAGAAACAACACTCGCTGCGTCAGCTCTACCAGTGATGTTGGAGATCTGAGGTTCCATTCTGCCAGTGACATTTTCACATCTACCAGTGATATTCTACCAGTGATGTCTCTTCTCTGCCACTATTGTCTCACATATTGTGTTTAGATCTAGAAATGCACGCAATATTTTCAGAAAAAAAGACTTGCAAATGACGCCAACGACCTTGCACAGTGCGAGCTTTAGACGCCACACATAATACATGGCGGCACAATGAGCTGATGTGACTGATTCCATTGCTCATCACTTGTCTGACTGCCTCCGAGACAACAGACAAGTCTCTGATGCATCTTGATGTGTCGGAGCGACCACGCCAATATCTATTGACCCGGTAAACTGAAACCTCTGCTCCTCTCCCCATAATCATAAGTTCGTTCTCTGTGATTCACCATATTCATGTTTTACCCACTCCAAGCTTGATCCCCAGCTTTAACCTAGTCCCATGTTGAACACAGTCCCATGTTTAACCTAGTCCCATGTTGAACACAGTGCGAAGTTAAAGGTCGCTCATGCTAAAGAACCCTGTTTACGTTTCATGAGTATTAGACATGTCAGTAAGATCTACTAGGAACTTACATAAACTGTGAACTTACACATACAGTGAACTTACATATACTGTGAACTTACAAAAACTGTGAACTTACATATACTGGGAGCTTACATACACTGTGAACTTACATATACTGTAAACTTACATATACTGTGAACTTACATATGCTGTTAACTTACATATACTGTGAACTTAATACACTGTGAACTTACATACACTGTGAACTTACATAATCTTGGAGCTTACATACACTATGAACTTATATACACTGGGAACTTACATACACTGGGAGCTTACATATACTGTGAACTTACATACACTAGGAACTTACATATACTGGGAGCTTACATACACTGTGAACTTACATACAATGGGAGTTTATATACACTGTGAACTTACATACACTGGGAGATTATATACACTGTGAACTTAAATACACTGGGAGATTATATACACTGTGAACTTACATACACTAGGAACTTAAATATACTGGGAACTTATAGGCACTGTGAACTTACATACACTGGGAACTTAAATATACTGTGAACTAACATACACTGTGAACTTATATACACTGGGAATTTACATATACTGAAAGCTTCTATACACAGTGAACTTACATATACTGGGAGCTTATATACACTGTGAAATTACATACACTGGTAACTTACATATACTGGGAGCTTATTTACATTGGGAACTTACAGTTACTGTGAACTTACATACACTGGGAGCTTATATATACTGTGAACTTATATACACTGGGATATTACATATACTGGGAACTTTATTACAGTGGGAACTTACATACACTTGGAACTTACATACACTAGGAACATACATACATTGGGAACTTACATACACTGGGAACTTACATACACAGGGAACTTACACTGGGAACTTACATATTGTGGGAGCTTATATACACTGGGCACTTACATACACTGGGAACTTACATATAGTGAGAACTTACATATACTGTGTAGAGTTTCCATGATTATATAAGATGATCCACTAACAAACTAGAGATATAAACAATACATTAAACAATGAGAACTGTTGAATATTATGTCCACTAATGTCTAGTTTAGAAACCTGGAAAATCGACAAACAATTAGGCAGTCGAACTGAGTATTTGGATATGTGGATATGTAGAAGAATAAATAGTATACCACTTAAATATAAATAATCAAATAAAGTTGTTCTGTAGAACCTATAAATGGAAAACGGTGATATTAGAGAGAAAAAGAGACATGGAGAGAACGAACGAGAAAGAAAGAAGGAGAGAGGGAGAGATGTGAAAAACACAGTTATATTACAAAGCATAGCTGAGTTGAGTTGAGCTGAGTTCAGATTTGACATCACAGCACTCGGGCATTCCCACGCATGCTCCGTCCTCATCTTCAGCAGCCAGCGCAGAGTTCCAGTATTGATGGTACCGGTCATTTTCTGATTATATGTCCGTCTTGCCTTTCCTCTGAGTGAGCCGACCAGACCCTCTGGTTACACCCAGGTGCCTAATTGTCTTCAGACCATAATATTTTTCTTTCTCTACTGATTCCGTTGCTTGTTCCCAGATGGCCTAAACCACATCTGTCTTGTCATGTATCAATTCACCACCCAGTGGTGCAAATCCAGCTAGTCTGTCTGCCTGTTCATTACCCACCACGCCGACATAGCCTGGAGAAAAGATCCAGAGTATGCTCACTAGCCGTGACCTTTCCAGTGAGGCTTGCTACTCTGCTAGAAGCATAACTGTCATCACCTTTCCAGTGAGGCTTGCCACTCTGCTAGAAGCATAACTGTCATCACCTTTCCAGTGAGGCTTGCTACTCTGCTAGAAGCATAACTGTCATCACCTTTCCAGTGAGGCTTGCCACTCTGCTAGAAGCATAACTGTCATCACCTTTCCAGTGAGGCTTGCTACTCTGCGAGAAGCATAACTGTCATCACCTTTTTCAGCATGCTTTCAGGGTCTTTTGCAATTACAGGTGTACGCATCTTGTTCTCTAGCCACCGGAGAGTTGCAGTTACCGCCTCCACCTCAATTCTCATGCTAGATGTTGTGGCGTCGTATGCTAGACTGTCTTGCACTAAAAGTTGTCTATTGACTTCTCTTTCCTCTCAACACTGAACCATCTGTATAGATAACCAGATCACCTGAGCGTGAATTGTGAATCAACTGTTGGACTGCCATCTCCGTAGCACCCGCTGGCCACTCTTTGCACACCCGGCCCAATGTGATCATAACCCTACACAGGTTAGACTTTTCCTCTGGTACTCTGACGTACTCCACTCCTCGCACAATGTTCTCCAGCATGCATACTTGTCTTATTGTGTCTTCTGCTTGGGCCATCCACGATTATCCCCTTTTCAGCCTCTAACGCTTACCTGCAGCCAAAGCTTCATACAGAGGGTGTTCCCTGTCTGCAGCTACTCTGATCTATGACAGCCTGCAGCACCTTTAGCCTACCTGCAATAGTCGGCAATGCAAAGATGTATCGCATGCACGCAATCGGGATGTCTCCTGTACATTCCAGGATCAGCCGCATAGCTTTATTCTGTATGTGCTCCAGTTTCTCTAGCTGACTCTTCGATGTAGTGAGTAATCCCAATCCATAACCAATCACTGAGATGATTAAGTGCTGCTAAAGTGTAAATAGCATCCTCTGCTCAATGTCCATCACTGCCATATTCTTTACGGGAACATCGTCTGCAAATGTCAATATTCTGCCAACTCCAGGTGTTTCTAGTTACTGTTGTAAGCGTCTTCTAAATGGAGTGCCGCTGCCACCGTTTCCAGTGTGTCTGGTGACTTTCGAAGGTATCAAGGAAAAAAGTGGCTGCATTTGACCATGTGTCCCTCCCCAGCCGGTAACTTCCCAATCCTCGTGGAAGGAGATTTCTCTGTTCCAAAATTTCTTGTAGCTTATCTTCTCCAGCACTTTACCAAAGGTGTTTTGTAGAGTTATGGTCTTAAAGCCGTTGAGTGTTCAAAGATTTTTGCCAGGCTTAGGAAGTGGAATCAGGTAGCTGTGCATCCACTCTTCCGGGACTGAAGCTATACTTATGCTCTGGTTGAAGCACGCAGTCATCTCCAACAGGTCTGCATCACTCATGTCTTTCATGTGGGAATATCCAACCCCGTCGGGCCCGGGTGCAGTGTCTTTCCCCCTTTCCAGAATACGTTTTTCTTTCACCTGTATGATGTCTTTGTAATGTTTGTTCATCAAGATGGCTGCCAGATCTTCTATTCTTTGTTATTTCCATCATTGTCGTCTGTAGTGAAATGAACCTCTTCAGGAAAGCCTTCCCCTTCTCTTTGTCTGTGGTTAATAGCCTACCGTCATCTCTATGAATAGCACCTTCTACGCTTTGCCGACAATTCCTGAGCATCTGCCTATATAGCTTCCAAAAATCATAAGACTCTAATAGAAACCAGAGCGGGAAAAGAGGGCAGGAAAACGAAAAGTAGACAGCGATAACAGAGGGAGAAAAAGATCAAAAGATGTTTCAAATGTTGTGACACCAGGAGTATGTATAAAAAAATTTGGAGATAACTGTGTTGACAACTTTTATGGTAGATACCGCAGATACTTTAAACTGTTCCTCACCTTTGAACTCAGCGCCATGTAGAACTGAATCCCATATTGGACACAATCCCGCAAATAGTTCAGCACCATGTTTAACTGAACCTCAAGTTGAACACAATCTTACAGATTTTCCAGCACTATGTTTAACTGAACCTCAAGTTGAACACAATCTTACAGATTTTCCAGCACTATGTTTAACTGAACCTCAAGTTGAACACAATCTTACAGATTTTCCAGCACTATGTTTAACTGAACCTCAAGTGGAACACAATCTTACAGATTTTCCAGCACTATGTTTAACTGAACCTCAAGTGGAACACAATCTTACAGATTTTCCAGCACCATGTTTAAATGAACCCCAAATTCAAAACAATCCCAGTTATTTCTGCACCATGTTTAACTTCGGTCCACTTGTTCGGGCATATACATGTTCCAAGTGTCAAGGTTACCTCAACCTCATGTTTAACTTCGGTCCACTTGTTCGGGCATATACATGTTCCAAGTGTCAAGGTTACCTCAACCTCATGTTTAACTTCGGTCCACTTGTTCGGGCATATACATGTTCCAAGTGTCAAGGTTACCTCAACCTCATGTTTAACTTCGGTCCACTTGTTCGGGCATATACATGTTCCAAGTGTCAAGGTTACCTCAACCTCATGTTTAACTTCGGTCCACTTGTTCGGGCATATACATGTTCCAAGTGTCAAGGTTACCTCAACCTCATGTTTAACTTCGGTCCACTTGTTCGGGCATATACATGTTCCAAGTGTCAAGGTTACCTCAACCTCATGTTTAACCTCTTCCACAAGTTCTACATATCTTGTTTCAAAAACTCAGCTTCCTGTTTAACTGACTT